TTATTAAGGCCGCTTGTCGGCACGACGCCACCCGTTGTAATTTACCTTTGCGTACTACGAATATTACTATAAACGGCCGTTAAATATCGTGTTCTTGTGTTGTGTGCATCCAGTCACCCTTAGAACACATCAGCGGACTCGGCGCCGATCGCCCTCGACGACCAGTAGACACCACGGCAGGTCAAGACGGATACTTCTATCACCGGTAAGTGGAATTGTACTTATAGCATACTACCACCATTTCAGCAACTGTGAGGTTAAACCATATAAGCAAATGGACAGCGCACTCCACTCCGCCATCAATGCTAGGCGATCATAATATTATAACCATATAACTGAGAGAGAAAAAAATTGGCCTGGCCATGGTCGGGGGGGCCCCTCAATTTTTTTTCAGGGTCTCATAAACTGTATATAGTATATATTAGGCAACTAGTAATTAGTATATACACCCCGCAATAATTGTACTGCCTTTTGTGCAAGTAAAAATATTAAACGGGTGTAATCGTCGTGTTTCACCCGGTGGGTTTCCGGTAGAGATGTTCCGGGTACCCGGCCATTACTCGGTACCGGCGTAATATCTTTATTTTTACTCGACTCATATCCAATGGCAAACTCTGATAATCTATTTATAAATATATGCATACCTATAATTAATATAACGGGAAAAATCTAAAATTGTAGGGTGATAAATTATAATTTATTTTGGTACATATTGAAATAACTGAACCGAATTACAATAGCCAGATAATTATAAGCAAATCATGTTTTTCATCTACAAATTACAAAAATAAATCTAGTGTTTTCTGTCTAATGTTTATAAATTTGATACTGGATACTTTGATAGTAGTATAATACAAAGTTTGTATTTACAGTTCTACTCGGCCTATACCCGGTTAGTGTTAAAATTTTTACTCGGCCAATACTCGATACCCGGTTAGTGCTATAAATTTTACTCGGCCAGTACTCGGTACCCGGCTTTATACCAGATTTTCTACTCAGAACATCTCTAGTTTCCGGAAGCAATTTGGATCTATTCGGTAGGTATACCTTCTATGGGTGCCGGGCCACAAAAATTTGCTTTATAGGTATCCCATATCACGATTCTTTACGATTTATTCATTTATATATTATGACTTGCAGTATGGAAACTGCGGGATTAATGTATAATTGTTGCTAAATTATAGAATAATACTCTGATCTACTGATTAATTATATACGCGGTGTGTAATAATATAGGTACAAAACAAAATTATAATATAAGCATAACAACATAGGTAAGTATAGATATATAGCTATGTCTGAACAAAGAAAAATTTTATTTTTATATTTATTTCAAAAGAGAAAAACTCACATAAAAACATGGCCTTACTCCGTTATATTATATATAATAATGATGGTTCTTAATACGGATATGTATACGTGATGTAAATGCATATTAAATGAACACTCTAAACACTACTTCTTTATAATAATATATCCACGACATTAATATAATAATATTACGAAAATACAACAACATTAAAATATGCGTACGATAATAATAATAATAATAATAATAATATTTTAATAATAATATAAATACAATATAATGATATTATAGTTATAATAATAATAAAAAAAAAAAATGATTACATTTTTAAATTGGGATATGCATTTTATAGATATGTATCTGTTAAATTACTATATTGTCTGTACTGATCAATATAGCTATTATGTATATTATATTATTATGTAATATTAATAATAATAATAGTTGTTATATCCTAATAGTCTTAAAATGTATAAACTCATAAATCACATGTAAATGTATTTAAAATTACGTAAGTCGTATGCTAATTATGTCTTTTGCAGTGCCCCGCGAGACGATGCCGATAACGACCTTTTGACACGACACAACAGATGGTACTTAGTTTTTTGTTTTATGGATGTTTTTTAAAACATTTTATTTTGATTTTTTTTAATGTTATTCCACAAACGTCCCGCCGGGTATTGCAAAGAATCGTAATAGCTCTCATCGTTACGTAATTTATTAAGATATGTATTGCGAATGGTTTTTAAGCTTAAATGTTAATGATAATAATTAATATTATAATCAATCGTATAATATGTAAATATAATAACACTCTTCAAACATTCCTACAAGTATAAATCTATTATAATAACTACGATGGCTTAAAATCAACATTTTTTTGTTCAGCTACAGTATAATATAATTTTATCATCGTCTACAAAATTCCTAAATTTAAAATCGTATAATCCATTGGTTATAATATAGTTTTCATACTTATATAATTTAATATATTATTATAGCTCTTTAAATCTCATGTATATACGTGTAAGATACTTAGATACATAATAGGTATGATAAAGCATAGATACTAGATACTTATAATACGAAAACTTTATTGAAAAACGAAAATCGAATGCTAAAAATTGAAATGGGAAAAAGGTCACGTGCAATAAATGTAGCGGAGTGGGTACCTACATGATGGGTTGAACAATATATCGTAGAATATTATGCGAAATGTGATGTCAACGCGTGTACTGGCCAATGGGTATAAAGGGGCCACTCAACGTTAGGGTAGTAAACACGTCTAATTTTCGTCGATGGTTCTCGTGGACGGTTTTAATCGCCGAGGAGGACGTTTCCTGCCAACGGGCACCTTAAGATTATTGTAATACATCCTCAATGTAAAGTGGCAAATCGTAAAACAACTGATGGAGTCCGACGACGATGGTGATATGAACGGACAACAGGTAGCTGCAGGTGGTAGGTACACGCACGCGTGTTATATACCTAGGTACGTCTACGTGTCTAGGCGCCGTACGATATTATTTTACGATGTAATATTATTGTTAGGTATTATACCGACGATAAAGAATACAACGACCAAGTCCAAAGCTTCGGGTTGGTTGGTGTTTTTCACGACCACTATAATATTTCAAATTAAAAATTATTATCTCCGCCGTATAATAAAAAAAAAATTGTATTCGATGTAGGTTTACTGGGTAAAGGTCGTACAGTGTGTCACTGTTGTCACTGTCGCGTAATCGATCGATAAATTTCCGCGGAGCTTGTCCTAATACTCGTCACAGGTGTGTCAGAGTGATGCATGCTCGCGTTTTCCCGCTATATCTGCACTCTGGCGATATTGCAATATTATTATTAAATCACGCGACACGCAAGGGGGAAGAGATTTTTAAAGTGTATAATGTTTACGATGAAAAAAATAAATGCACTTGCACGTAAAACTGCAGGTCTATACCTAAATAGCACAAACACGTGTCCAGTGCCGGATTCAAGTCCGGGGTGCGAATACTATAATGATGGTGTCACCTTAAAAAAAAATTCTATTCATAATAAGAAATATTATTTTGATGCATTGATAATTATATACAGTAATACCAGCTCCTTATAACGGACCCCCTATAAGACGGAAATATCCTTGCAACGGAAAATAACGACAGTCCTGCAGTATGACCTATATCCCTTATATTTTAGTCTCCCGGCGAGTCCTTTATGTCGGAAAAACCAGTTCGTGCCAAGCGATTACGTTTTTAAGAGGTTTTACTGTATATTATATATATACATTTTTGTTGTTGATTAAAGTGAATATGGATTAAAAAAAGAGAAAAAATTTCGACTAGGTCAAGGGCGGATCCAGAATCTGCGTACATAGGGGGCACTTAAACATTTTTACGATGCTGAATTTTAATAATTAATGAACAATTTATGATATTATATTTTTTTGTGAACGTTAGGGAACTTGCCCCCAGTGCTCCCCCCTGGATCCGCGCTTGAACTAGGAATAGGCACCTCATGGCTCATACTGAGTTCCTTTAAATCGAGTGACAATAGTGACGTTATCTGGGATAAAACCGAGTTGATAACGTTTACGTAAAATGAACGGGCGCGGGTAATATTTATTAAAATACTTTGTTTTTTTTTACCATAATTCGAAATTATTAGTACCTAATTTATCACTTTTTGCAAAGTTCGAAAATCTAGGACACCAACCTGACTAACCAGTCCGAAACCAACTCAGGTTTGAGATTACTATTGCACCCCCTCTAAATCCGGCACTGATGCACGTGTCTTAAATAAGAGTAGCGTGTCCTATACGCGTTTTCTATGCGGCGATAAGATGTAATATAATATATGATATTATTATTGATAATATAATAATATTGTGTCAAGATTAAATCATTATTAACTAATATAAAATGAATGGATACTTATAATAATAATTATACGATACGGTTGATATGTGGTTGATATGCTGTCGGCAAAAGGTCCGACGGTCCTCGGCCAAATTGAGAGTAAACGAAAAATATACAAAAAATGAAAGAAAAATATACAAACACATAGGGGGGGCAGCTGGTGTAATATTATGATATTGTGTGACCCGAAATCGTCGGCTGCACATCGAAATCGCATTGTGCCGTCGTGCTTGTTCGATATCGATGTCATATTAATGATATGTATCATCGTATCGCAACATTGTTTCCCACCGATAGTGTCTCCAAACGGACAACAAACGATGTGATATCATGCGATGAGACAGAGCTGAGAATTTAGCAGCTGGTATAGTTATCATGAGCGTTTTTTTTATTTTAACATTCAGAGGTACCCGCCACATCGCAGGAGTCGGGTCGTTGGTCCTACGTAGGTCCTGTCTTCGTAATATTTAGTAATATTTACACTCGTCAGTGGGCACCTGCACCTGCACCACGCAGTGCATCTATGTGCACCGGCACACTCGATATTGTATTTTGTTCAATCTCGACTCGAGTTCGGGAGGTGTTTTGTAGGCGTATACAATAATATATTATATCGTATTGTGATTATGGCGTGTACATTAGATAGCTCTCGTGCGTGCGTGTTTGCGAGTGTAAGTGCGTTTGTCAGTGTGTCAATTTGTTTGTGTGTGTGTCAGTGTGTGTGTGTGTGTGTGTGTGTGTGTGTGTGTATGTGTGTAAGTGAGTGTGTTGGTGTGTGTTTATTTGAATTGGTGTAGGGCGAAGACGAAAACTATCAGGATGCGGGACAGGACACGAGCTTCGCCGATCCCGTTGGCCGACGACGAGTACTTCTTGCCCACGCAGTTCATTCTCTCCACCGGCAAATTCAAGACGCTAAACTCCCTGCGAACAAGACACAAACACAACGATATTATATTATATTACACTACTACTGTCTTATTGACATCGCGCAATGCTGTAATCATTGGAATTGAATTCCGTACATAAAAATAATTATTATATTAGTGTCCTTCATTGATTCGTCACGGCCGTCACCATCGCTTGAATTAAATACGAAAATAAAGACGTTAGTCGAGAATAAGTACTTATAAATACTATGACTCACATACAAATAATATTTAATTTGTATATAAAGCTATGTCATATTATTATTCAATATTATAAACGTCATAGGGCACGATATTATATATAAACGTGCACCCACTCACCCACAACGTTGTAATTGTCAAAATGTTCAATTAAAAAATGTTATGGCTAGGATATCAAAAATACTCATTCCTAATTTTTCCAATATTTGGCATTTGTTCGAGTGAATATTAGATTATTTCAAATACGATGCAGTTTAATCGACGATCTAGAACAAAATATATACAGCGTATCTCTGTACTTGGGTGAGAGTTTATATTTCGATTTTTCCTGTACTTTCTGCAAAAGGAAATATTACTTATACCGACCAATCGATAATATTATGACAATGAGTGCGGATTCGACCGAATCAAATTACATGCGGAGAACCGATTTTAAATAAGTTGAATTAACGACCATGCACTGTTTTAAAATTTAATACCACAACGTATAATATATTAAAGTACTGTTACTGCCCTAAGCAGAGACGACTGGAGCGGAACGGCTGAAACGATAGTGCCCAACTGCAGCCAGCTATTTTCCAGGAATTTTCTTTTTTCTCGAATAAAATGGCCAAGTCGAAAAATTATTTACGAAGTTCTTATATACCTTGGTTTACTTTATGATTTATATAAACTGAACTGGAAATTTAATTAAAATTCTTTAGATCAATTATATAGTGTTTCTAATAACGCGGTTTATAATGTCGTATTATATAGACACCTACAAGCGACGGACCTACACTTTGCTGGTATGGTGTAAAATTGTGAAAAAATATCTAACAAACTTTCACATAGTGTATAATAAACTGTGCTAAAAGCTCAAAGTGATTTAAAGTTAATAAAGTTTGTTTCGCGTCAATATGTGTGTTCTACAATAACACACTGCAGCAGTGTGCGCTTGTAATTATTTCAAAAATATTATTAACAGCAGCGCATTAGCATTTGTTTGTTCGGCTTGTTTTTGTTTTGTTTCTGAATAAATTACACATTCAAAAGAGTGGAAAATCATTATATCAAAGAACAACGAGCGATTTTGTTTCTGAGTTTGTAACTTATAGATTTTTTATGCTAATTTTATGCCTGTTCTCGGATTTCCTATACCGCGTCTAGTTTTATTACATTTATGGGAGAGATATTTCGAGAAAAAAAAATAATAAAAAATAGTATTATGTACTTTGCATTCGCGCCATTACCAGTTTACAATATTGTGTAGGTATTGTATACATTATACACATTTTAAATAGCTTTAACATAAAGATTAGTGTATTAAATAAGACCAGATTGTAAATCCGTCTCTACAGATTCACAGGTAATGCATTTTGTGTTCAAGATACATTAACGAAATGTAAATTACGCAGACAGAGATAATCTGATGATAGGTTTTATAAATCAACTCACAAAATCCTGATAAGAAGTCGCCATTCATCCGCTTTTTAGGGGGTTTATTATAGGTAGGCTGATTTGAATGAAAACGTTGAGAAAAATTAAAATTAAAATTTTTAAATATATTTAAAGATATTTTGAATACTAATTCAAACCTATTATACCGTGTGAAAAATAATAATGTTTTATTGTATTCGTTATTCCGGAGAATTCTGGCAAAAAACTTAACAACATTTTTAATATTAAATGCTTTGATATAATATTAGTAGGTAGTTTTTTAGTTTTAATTTAATGTATAAATTAAATATTATGCTTTATTAGTATGACCCATTCGAATAATGTCTTTTTGTATAAATAAACTGTATAAGTTGGCGATTTGGCCTATTAATCATTTATTTTTTGTTTTATAATTTATTAGGTGTTAGCATAATCTATTGCAACTCAACAGTTAATATGCTATTTAAACAACAGGTTATATCATATCGTGTGTATAATATTATAACACAATAATGATTTTCCATATTACGAAGTTCGTATTATATAGAGAATTTCTTTAAATATGATTAAATTAATGTGATTCCAATATTTGGTATGGTTATCAAAAATATTTCGTTAAACAGAAAATTATGTTAATTGAAAATTTGTTATATGGAAGTTTCACTGTATTAGTGTCACGCTGTATTAAACGAAAAAAAAATGTTATAGAATAGAGATTTAAAATTTTAGAAATTTACAGATGTATGAAGAAAATTACTTAATATGATTTATTTCAATGATTTTACTTTTAATTTATAGATTTTTGTGTATCCTGTAATCATATAGAGACTGTCCGACATAAATAACCGAGTTGTTAGGTATATAATTTTTTGTTTAGTGTGTATAATATTACTTTAAATTCATAGAAAATTGATATTAGATTTTATTATTTTGCATATTTGGTCAACACATAAGACTAGGTAACGCCACAGTAGTATCAACATAATATTTATTTGTGCTGTTGAATTGTAAAGGCAATTTTTCCGACAAAATGGCAAAATACGACTGAGCTTTTAGTAAAATCCTACTTAAATAGGTACCTACGTATTACTTATCGTACCGAACTCGCTCAGAATTGTTTTTACATACGATTTATATTTGCAAAAATACAAACTCCCACTACCACGTAACATCCCCAAAACGTGGTTTCAATTATATCGGCGTCTGACAACTCGAAATCGTTGTCCCTCGATGAATTTTTTTAACATAATTTTTATTCAGGCCATCTGTTGGGGAAGCTGAATAATATTAATATTATAGCTTGATTATTGATAAAATAATTATCTAATACAGTAGAACTTCCATACATCGGTCACTGAAGGGACTGTAAATAATGACCGCTATTTAGAGGTGCCTGTCCTACAGAGGTAGGATAACACTCGATGGGACTAAAAAAAATGACCGTTACATAGAGGTGACCGTTAACGGAAGTTTTACTGTAACATGAAAATAATATAGGTCTCTTGGTGGGGAGGTAATTCGTCATGAAATAGCTGTTATATACGAATATTTGATACATTTCAACAATGATATGATCTTCATTTTTTTTTTTAGAGACGAGCGTTAAGTCACGACACCAATGTCTATTTATACTAATTTTGGGGGTTGCCCGGAATAGTTGCGAGTTGACTGTCAGGCGATATAAAAGGGGAAAAAACGGGGAGTACGAGTGAGTTGGTCGATTAGTGAAGCATTCAAACGGAGCTTTGTTGGTTCGGCCACAGTCTCAGTTTTTAATAATAAATTCCATTCAACACACATATAATTAATAATAACACCAGGAGCGTACTTATCTCGACGCATTTTGTTTGTAAAGTTTTTGGATTCCGCGTTAACGCGTGCACCACCCTCCCTCCAACACCCTTCCGCCACCCTCTACTTCCAATTATTATCGTTCGAGTGTGAATTCACATTATGTAATGTGTATTAATATTATGATTTTATGCGATTTTGCGAACGACAAACGGCACACACCTGTGTTCTTCTTCCATCAGGCAGAGTATGTGCTTCTTCTGTATGATGTCGTCGTCATCCCGATGACGTAACTCTTTCAGCCAATCCCTGTACCAGCGCAGGTCACAGTCACAAATCAGCGGGTTATCTGCGGAGACGAAGAAAAATAAATAAAACATTAAACTTTCGGGACTCGGGTACCTAACCTAACATTCCGAAAAGGGTCGTTTTTATCCGACCCAATCGCCCGGAACGTCACAATCCGGTAGAGTTCCTGGAAGTAATGTCCATTTCAGTGGTCATTAATATTGCGTTATGTTTGGTGTCTCTTTTGTTTTTTTTTTATTTTTTATTTTGTTTTATTTCGGTTGTGGTTTATCTCTCGGAATGGTGTTTTTTTTCAAAATTTATATTTTCCCAGGAAATAATATAATATAGGTAGGTACCGAATAAATATAAAAAACAACGTTGGTTGAGGAATTGGATAATTCCGTGGGAGAGCGAAGGGCAGTCCTATATGTAATAGTCTTTTACTCTTTTCGCCACTGAATACCGGTAGGTGTTTACAGTCGGTAAAGTAAATTTTATTTATTTAATTATTAGTGTGATACCTAAATCATTAAGTGACCAAACGATGTTGACAAACTGCCGGAGATGTTTATATTTATTATTTTTTAAGAATTACTTTGTACCTTCGGTTACCACTATTGTAACGTTTGTACGTTTAAATTATTATTTGTATTATTAATTGTTAAAATATTATGTCTTAAAACAATTAATTAAGTTTTTGACCTTAATTGATTACACACATTTGTAAGATAAGAATAATATGGAATATGCCACTATACATAATATATTATTACAGTTTTAGATATTTATCGCAATAAAAAATAAAATTATTTATAATTATACCTATTACCTACTTTATTTAACGAATTTAAATTATAAATACTTTTTTTTTAACTATTATGGAACACGTATATACACTTATTACATACCCACATAAAATATTATATAAAGTGATTCAGTGCATTATTTTTGACAAAGATTATAATTATTTTGACTGTTGATTATATCTGACAACCCAAAAATAAAATGTGTTGGATAAAAAAACGTTGAAATATTTTAAGCCCCGCCAGAAAAACGTTTGGCCTTCGGTGCTGCGTAAAAGTCTGATGTCTCATTAAAAAAAATAAAATAAAAAATAATCTTCAAGAACTTATCTCGCAGCTACAAAACACCAATCACATTATTCTGATTGCCTTTGAATAAAACGTATAGTGGGACATATTTACATACTACATTTTCAACGATTGAACATCTACAGCAGTTTGCATATTATCATAATGTAAAGGTCTATAGGGCGGTTTTATTAGACATATTTTATTAACAACGAAATCCCCAAAAAGTCAAACCACTCGAACGAATTAAAAAAAAAAAATTATAAAATATTTAGCACCGATAGTAAAATTGTTTAATCGCATAATTATATTATAATTGTTAATTGTTTTTTTTCTTATAAAATATTTCGAACGCGAGACCCGACCTATGTCCTATCGTGCCGATATCCCATAATATTATTTTTCATACAAAACGGTGTGTCTCAAACCTGTCATAAAAACAAATCTCTCCATCTCTTGAGCTATATACATTTTCAATTGACAGAAAGTGAGAAAAGTGTTGTAACAGTCCACCACCGACATTCGCATAATAATATAATTATATCCGTGCGTATAGAAACGTGAGGTTCGTGTGGACAAGAAAATACCTCGAAATGATTTTCGAAAAAACAAAACCCATTCATTTGTCAGCGTGTTTGCAATTCGTATTTATTATTATTTGCGTGGGACTCTCTCGATTTGTGCGAGGGTGTGTTGGGGGGGGAGTGGGGTGAGGGTTGGTTTCGTTGACTTACCCATAATATCAATAACAGTTGCGGTGTCTACGATTGCCTCGAGCGCTTCTTCCGGTACTCGCGTCAGTTTGTTGTTTTGCAGGTTTAATATTTCCAAGGAATTCAAATTCTCGAAAGCCATCATCGGTAACGTTTTGATGCTAAACAAAAGTAATCAGCTTCAACTTACTTGCGATCGATCGAGCGAAATAAGAAGAGTACTTATATAGATATCGGGTTCGGTACACGTGACTTACTCGTTTTTTTGCAAATTCAAAAACGTGATCGAATCCCCAAATCCGGTGAATGCGTCTTCGGCGATATGTGATATGTTGTTTGCTTTGAGGTCCAAGTGTCGAAGTCTGTGCAAACGACGGAGCGATTCGCTCGGTATTGTGTGCAAGTTGTTGTCGCCCAATCTCAAATATTGAAGATTTTCTAAAAAACAAAAAGTATAATTATCGTTATAGAGCCGAGTATATTATATAGTATAGGTATTGTTTAAGTTTCACAGCAAATTTGTTGACGTTAATCAAATTCGTTTTTGAATAATTTAATGAGTTTGTATTTCTTTATCACGATGAGTATTTTTAGAAAAAAAATCTCAACATTATAATTGCACATAAATTGCACTTAATATAATTGCTTCTGGGTGTACTGCGCTAGTGTACCACATATGCAATTATAATTATTTTATTTATTATTATGTTTCATTTTGGTTTACTAGATTTCGGCAAAATAAACAAAATTATAACGGGTCATAGTTTTTTATTTAAAATCTGATTACTAATTGAAATTTTGGTTTTTTATACGATATTTAACGTATCACATATAGATACACACAGCGAATAGTATGTCTATGACTCTTTAAGTTGTATTGAATAAAACCTGTCGTCATTTCAACATTTTGGTTAAGATTTTTCTATTTTAAAAACGTATCTAAACATTTATTTTGAAAAATAATTACTTGTAATCGAAAAAAAAATATACAGTAATTTACTGAGGGTAGAACTTGATTTTTCTGATGACTATTATCTGAATCAGGTTTTAAAGAAGCCGAACAACATTTTTTTTGTCGCATCGAGTTGTATAAGAACATGAGCTTAAAAAAAAAAATCCTTAAACATATCAGTTTGTTTAGCTTGATAAGCTTTTTAAGACATGTATTTCACGGAATATCAGACAAAAAACTATTACGCTTTGGAATTTTGGTCTTTATAGTGTTTGGCGTCGTGCCATAAAATCTTCTATATCATTTGTTTGTTGCTCAGTTTCAGGACCCTAGAAATAAATTGAACGGTCAACTATTGTAATACCAACGACCATAGGTGTTTATGCGTAACAACTTTCGGTTTAATTTATTTTATAGCTATGATGACAATTTATAATAGGAGTTGAAATTAAAACAAATACCGAATTCGATTAAAATTTGAATCACTCACACTCGTATCATTGCACAATAATATTGTCCACGATATATAATAAATAATAATGCACCCGAAAAACTGTTAGCGAAAAATGGCATAATATAATATTTATGGATATTTTTATTTACTTTATAAGTACATAATATTCCGTGTAGCATCGTATTTTCTACGTCAAACCTAAGGTACAACACTTAAGTGCAATCTGTGTCAATTTTCTATGTAATTGACATAACATCGATATCTTTCACATAGAACCTTTTATCACCCTAAAAGATGTTCTCAGGGGAAAATGATACGTCATTGTAAAACCGAAATCATCCTCAGGCCACTCAGGAAATTAAAATCAAGATATTTGAATGGGAAATCTATGGCCTATGGATATTTAACTATAATAGAACCTTTTCCGTAAAACATTAATTACTTAGTAGGTAGTATTTACATTTACATTGAATTCTGGATTGATTAAAATATAATATTATAAGAAATTTAGTCGATGTTTTTTCACGAATTTTCCATACATCATAATTTAATATTACATATGGTCTTTGCGTTGGATTTTATTTTTTACAAAAACCGTTTACAAAAAATTAAAATTAAAACTGTTAAATGAAAACGTGTTAAATTTATTTCAAACTAAATTTTTTATATTAAATAACCCGATTATTGTCGGTATTATTATTTTTTTTATCCACTGTTCGATATAATTTTTTTAGTACACAATCTTGATTTGAAAATTAAAAGTTTAAACCAAACAAATTGTGTTACATTCGGTAAATATTTGACTATTTGAGACATATTTAAATAATTGTTTGTTGAAAATGTATGCTCAGCTTATCATAATTATATGCATAGCTTTTATAAAAAAAAATTACAAAAACATTAATTGGCATACCTACGTGTCTTTCTCGTGTAGAATGTAATCTACATTCAATTAAGGATTTTGAATTATTTTTATGACCGAGTGCTTCAAATAAAAAATATGTAAAATTTAAATTACAATCGGCTATAAAAATAATTAACTGTTTGATATGTTGATTGGATAAGACATTATTATTGTGCAATTTAATATTATACCTACCATTGATCAATGTTAACATATTTTGATGACATTTTTAAATCCATTAGTTAATTTTTTTTAATACAATTTAAGCGGTCCCTTGTGCATCTATATATTGCGAAATAAGTATAATTATTAAATTATTATGATATATATAGACATAATATCCAATTGAAAATGAATGTTGAATCCACTGTACATAATATGTAATGTATTATAATTGTATTTGGGCTTTATTACTTCCTTGAATAATTACTATTATTACTGTACATTTTTTAATCTAAAGATTTAATTCATATTATGCTTTTTAGGTATATCAAAGTATAGTAAAAGAGGATTATTTTTTGTAAAGTAAAAGATGTACAATGAAATATGAAAAAAAGTCGTATCACTTATATACATGCACTGCAGGAATTTACCAAGTACGCTAACCTAAACCCCATTTTTCCCTTGAATAATGAATTTATTCAAATTCTGAGTTTTTTAATTTTTAAGTACACTCATGGCTTATATTCTCAATTACTTAGATTTTTTATGCAATTTAAGGAGTATCCCGCAGCGATACAAACTTCCTTTTTTTTTTTCAAATGAGAACCACTCTTTTGCATTGTAAACATGTAAAGAGGATGTCGGCGCACTATTTGTTTTCTCTCCGATTCACGCACATCATAGACAAAACGCATTCACGAAAAATTGTATTTTTTTTTTTACAATTTTTGAGTAATCTTAAAGTGAAATTATCAAATACAAAAATTATAGAAAATACTATTTATAAGGGTATGACATATTGGTTTTTAGTTTTAATTTTTGTATACTAAAAATACATTTTTCTTGTACATTTAAATGGATATTAAAATGTTTTAAGACAATATTTAGGCAAAATAAAATGTCAGCCAAACCCCAAAAAAATATTATTCTCTATTTTTTTCGTGAAGGGTAATTTTACTTCAAGATTACTCAAAAACCATAAAAAAACGGTTTTGCATGAATGCGTTTTATATATAATATACACGTTGGGCATAAATTAGAGAAAGAAAACAAATGGTGCGCTGACATCCTGCGCTATGGAAATGAGTTTTTTTTAAATAGTTTAATGCACTTTTGTTCTAAATCAAAAGTCATCTGAATTATTAAACCTTAGATATTAATAGAATAATACTGCAGTTGCACACGATTGATATAGGTTAAGAGATTAAGATAATTTGGGAGCTTTGGTGATTTGAAAATTATAGTAAACAATATAAATAATCTATTACAAATTTATTATCTGTAAACATTTTACGAAAATGATAAGTAGGCACTTACTCGGCTAAATATTAGATTTTATGTTTTATATTTATTGTAAAATTGTTTTTAAGGACCATTATTTTTAGTACTTAAAGTTTAGTAACTTAGGAACAACTCGTTCAAATTTTGATTTATATACAAGACAATTTTCAAAAAGATCATCTTCTTCAGAATTTAAAACAAGAAGTTGTTAGACTTGAAAAATATAACTTCGTATATCCACAGGATACTCATTAAATGGTATAAAAGATCTAAGTTTTTAAGAATATAATGTATATTTGAAAATTCAAAATATCAGAATTTGTTATTAATTCATTATTAGATGAAAAATTAATGTGAATCAACCTGAATATCTGATCGCTTGAATTGCATGAAGTACCAAGTTTGTCGAGTTTTTATTTTAACAGCGCTTACAATAGAGAATAGAGATAAATGTTTTATTCATTTATTTTGTCATAGGTAATGATTTTGCTCATCCTAAAAGTCGTTTTCCTAGGTAAATGTTCCTCATTGTTTATAAAGACCAAAGAAAACGTGACTTAAAGTTGGAAAACTTCTAGAACTATTCTTATTGAGAATACACTTTAAAAAGGTATAGGTTTACATTATTTATCTGACAATATTGACATGTTCTGTCGTCGAGTGTACCTATACTGCAGCTACTATAAAGGATTTTCTAAAACTTTAATAATTAAATCTCATAATAATTTTATATAAAATCTAACTCACTTCGTTTTAATTTTCATAAGAAATATTACGTTTTTAATAACTTGCAGAGCAAAGTTGAAGAAAATAAGATATATACATTATTTTAGTTATCAATCAGATATTATATTTTTATAAATTACGTTTCATTTAATAAATCTGTTTATTTGTTATTTTAAAGTGACCTCGTGTGGTAAACGCGAATTAGTCAACGTTTTAATCAACATCAAATACAATCAATACAATTAAAATAACTAAAATCGATTATTGTCAGGTTTAGTGTATAATAATTAAATTCTTTGGGTGGACAAAATAAAATCGACTTTATCGATAACTGACGTCTCCCTTTGAGGCCATTATAGATAGGATGTACAGTAACCATGTCAATACATTATATCTACACCACTGATCAAACAGGACAGGTTTAGAGCTAAATATTATTACGGAAAGCTTCAAGAAACGTATGTTGAACAATCGTTCGTAATGGTTCTGTGACGACGATACAACTTACCAGCTGCACAATCACAATAATTATTGTTATATTTTCCTCTCGCATTTTATTGTTGTTGTACAATACGTTTGGGTGTGTCATTGTATTGTTGAAAATTTGTTAAATCAATATTATTATGTTGTTGTTTACAAACTGTTTCGATATCCATTCGCGTTCATTTATCAATAAGTATTGTGTACATTTTTTAATTTTTAACCGGCAAAGCGGCATCGTTTAACTACTGCGTATTTCCGGGGGGGGGGGGGGTCTAGGGGATCCTCATTGGTCCGTAACGATGTTAAATTTTTTTCACGGTATCATAAATACAACCCACGGCAGCTTTGTGAAAATCCCACGTGAAAAAATGAAAAATTCGTAAATACTGAACTATACTGCAGCGGTTTGCTTCAGACTGCACGATGTGCAGGGTAGCGAGCATAAATGGCGTAACTGCAGATGTAGGTATTGTCTG